GGAAAATCAGGATGTGAATCAGAAGAGAAAGCTTTACATATTCAATTTGCCTTGGTCTTTCTCTGTCGTCGACATTAAGGAGCAGTTTGGACAATGCGGAACTGTCACTGATGTTGAGGTTCTTCTTCTTCTTCTTCTTCTTCTTCTTCTTCTTCTTCTTCTTTTGTTCGTTCTTTTGTGTGTGTGTGTGTGTGTGTGTGTGTGTGCTGATAATGTCTCTGTATCTGATGAATTTGTGTTGGAATGTGTTTCTACTTGTAGATTATAAAGCAGAAAAATGGAAGGAGCAGGGGATTTGCCTTTGTGACTATGGCTTCACCAGATGAAGCTCAAGCTGCTATTCAGAAATTTGACTCTCAAGTACGTTTTCTTCTACCTATTTCTGCTCGCTTTCTGTTTGGTTGTTTGCCCCAATGAATTCTGTTCTATTTGTTACTGGTATTCTACCAATAGCTTGTTAGGTTTGGTTCTGAAATTTTGAAATTCCATATTTCAATATGAATTTTGGTATATATAATACTCTTCAGACTTGCTAAACACTTGAAAACTACTTTTGGAATCCTCCATAAGTCCCTTTTTTCGCTTTTGATATCTGTTAAGTTGTTGGACTGGATCACAGATTACTATAGGGTTTGAACCGATTCCTTTTACTTTTTCACATGTTTCAATGCCACTAGATCAATTTTGGTTCAAAAGCTTTGTTTGATCATAGTTTAATTAATCAAAACTTGAGTATAGAAATTTGAACCACGAACTTAGATAAAATGAGTATATGTCAATTATGATTCATCTTTACGGCGAAACTTTATACTTTTAAGTTCATGAATTTGAAATATATTGGTTAGTTACTTAAAGACTTAATATTCTAGAAGATTTTTAATACCAAATGTTGTAGGGTTAAACGATTGGTAATTGTTCAATACAAGCGATGCATGTGTTAAAGAGGATTAATTCTGTCAAATCTTGAGGACAGAGTTTCTACATCCTTTATCATCTAACGTGGTCTACAAATATATAAACAGATCTCTATTGAGTATTATCAATGTTATGTAGTGTCGGACAACATTTGAAGTTCTGGCTCTGAAGAAGTTAATTAAACAAGTCCTAAAAACTCAGGGTATCATAACTACTTCCTATTATGACATATATTACAACCTCCCAAGTCCACCGTTAGCAGATATTATCTTCTTTGGGCTTTCCCTTACAGGCTTCCTCTCAAAAATTTTAAAATGAGTTTGCTAGGGAGAGGTTTCCACACCCTTATAAAGAATGTTTCGTTCCCGTCTCCAACTGACGTGGGATCTCACAATCCACCTCTATTGGGCCCCAGCGTCTCGCTAGCACTCGTTCCTCTCTCTCCAGTTGATGTGGAATCTCACAATCCACCCCCCTTCGAGGCCTAGCGTCTTCGCTGGCACACCATCCGGTGTCTGGCTCTGATACCATTTGTAACCGTCCAACCCCACAGCTAACAGATATTGTCTTCTCTATACTTTCCCTTTTGGGCTTCCCCTCAAGATTTTTAAAACGCGTCTCTTGGGGAGAGGTTTCCACACCCTTATAAAGGCTGCTTCGTTTCCCTCTCCAACCGATGTGGACCTCACATACATTGTAGTCATTTTGCTTTATATTGTCTCTATACACAAACATTTCCCTTTCTAACATAGATATCTAGGTTCTGTTCATGGTAAATATTTCACGTTAATATGTTCCATGAAAACATATATTTCTGCAGGAAATATCAGGCAGAGTTATAAAGGTAGAGTTTGCAAAGAGATTGAAGAAGCCTCCTCCACCAAAACCTCCAGGCCCACCTCCTGGAGAGACTGTGCATAAGCTTTATGTATCAAATCTTGCATGGAAGGCGAGATCCACCAATCTCAGAGAATTCTTTTCTGAAAACTTCAACCCAATTGCAGCCAGGGTTGTCTTCGATAGCCCCTCTGGAAAATCTGCTGGCTATGGCTTTGTTTCTTTTGCTACTCGAGAGGAAGCAGAAACTGCACTTTCTTCATTGGAGGGGAAGGTAATTTACTTGCTCTGATCTTATTGACAGATAAACTTCTGTGTGATTGACCACCTACTCGGAGTGACTTTTCAAATGCTTAAAAACACTTTTTTACGCCCTTCATAAAATTTCAAATAGGCCATGAGTGTTGGTTAATCTTGCAAATTATTCATGTTTGAGTGAACACCCTTAAAAAATGAAAACCTACTAATGCTTACCTTTAAATATCATTCTTTCAATTCCCTCTTCAAATGTCCATATCATTGGTTTCTAATCTATAGAACTTTTTGTTTTTGTCTTTTTTGGGCTACCAATGGATTAGCTACCCAAACAAACCAAGATACCCATATTTCTTCGGAAAGAATCTTATTTTGGACTTTGACCTTGCGAGCACCCACTCAAAATAGGGAGGGTGCACTAGCACGAGAGAAAGAGCTCCTAACTACCGTACTTCTGGCAACCATTGGATTCTTGGTAGATAGGATTTCCTAGGCCCCTAGGCTGGGATAGGTTGCTTTCCGTCCATTTTTTGGAATGATATGTTTATGTAAATAGATAGTTGTGAGACGTTTCAAATATTTGAAACTCGAGGATTGGGAATATGGGAATGTGAGGCAAGTTAATGTACCAGAATTACAATATTGGGTCCAAATCCACTGAAATGGGTCGATGAGCATTTTAAAATTTGTCAACCTATGTATAGCTTGACTGATTAAAAACATATATCCATCGATGTTTTGGACGTAGAAATGAGTGCTAAAAACTTACTGATAATAACATTTTGACCCCTACTAGCTTTGTACAAGTTCAAATTTCTCCAAATTCCCAACCTAATTTCAGGTGTAATGTTCCATTTCATTCCTTACATATTTGAAATGCTTGAGCTTCTCTCTCCTCAGGAACTGATGGGCAGACCCCTTCGACTAAAATTTAGTGAAAGAACTGTTGTTAAATCAGAAACCCCAAAAGAAGACACTGTTGAAAGCCAACCTGAAGAATCACAGATCCCCTCGGATTCAACATCAGATTGATCGCTCGGTACGCAACTTAGAAACACGATTTTGTTTGAAATTCCAACTACATTTGTGATATCTGCTGGTGGTATGATCTGTACATCTTTCTGCTGTTTTGGTAGCATATTTGTAGTATCATAACATTATCTGTCTCCTGAAATTTCTGAATCGAGTCCTTATAGACTTTTTTGTTTTGTCTCAAAAAGAAATCCTCTCTTGGTGTTGCATAATGTTAGGTGTGTGTTATTTTGATGCTTAAAAGTCACCCTTTTAGCAACTGTTTGATTACATGAAACCCTGAGTTTAAGAAATGTAGCCAGTTACTTGCTGTTTGATGCTTCTTCAAGAGTTGAAGTTTCCTTACCAGCAACGTAACCAGAAAGTGTTAATAGTGTCGAAACCGGTAAAATAATATTGCCAAAGCATCGTAAACTGATGGTGATACGAACGAAGGTCAGAAAATTATCATATCTCGAGAGCTAAGAAGCTACCACTAGCTTTAATCACTTATATTCAAGCTCTCGTGAGCTCGTCAAAGGAAGTTCTAGAAGATGTTGAAGTCTTTTCCTATATGTTATGCAAAGTTGAGCTTCAAGTCGATGAACTCAGTTGAATTTATGGAACTTAGTTCAATTACTAGATAGCACATTTCATTTTATGCACTATTTCAATTTCTGTTTATCATTTAAGCTAGTTTTTAACACGGGCGATCAGGTTATATTGTAACTCATTTAGATTATTATATTTCATCATTAACTAGTCATTTTAATATGAAGATTGCGAGTGTATTTAACTCACGTAGGTTAAGATTATCAAAGCTATGCAAAGCGTTCTTTTTTTTTTTTCATTATAGATATCATATTTTGAATTGAAATAAACAGAGTTTCTGCTAATTTCTTGCGGGCCTCAATCCTTATAAAAATAAGTGGAGAATTTTGCAAGGATTGGGATGGAGAAGACATCCCGACCCTACCCCGCCTAATTATAGAGTTAATAAGGCAATTTATAATAATTCAATACTTAATTCTTACCGAGCTTGGACAACTTTTAATTATTCATTTAATTAATAGCACTAAGCTTATTTGTCAACTTATAAACACTAAATAACAACATTATTAAAGTTTGCTAATCAAAACTAAATCACAATTATTTACATTTAAATTATTGGTTGCCCAAAAAGTACACCAAAAAAAGAAAAAACTTCCCTTTTTGTACCAAAAATTCAAAGATTGCATTTTGACCAATGGCAATGGTCACACCCCTAAATCCCTTTTTTTTTTTCTTCTTTTAATTTTTCAATTTTTTAAATTTTAATTTCAATTCAAATTAGTTGACACGATTGACTATTATCGTTGAGCGGTTTACTTCAGCTAAATTTCGTCGTCTATGACCACCGCTCTCCCTCTCATACCAGCTATGTGCTACGTGTTTAGAAGTAAACAGTAATTACTAAATTTATAATTTAACAAAAAAATATTAAATTATACAAAATATTTATTAATTTTAAAATATCTTTCGATTCTATTCTTCGCAAAACCATGAGAGCTTATGCTCAAAGTGGACAATATCATACCATAGTGGAGAGTCGTGTTCGTCTAACATGGTATTAGAGCCATGCCCTAAACTTAGTCGTGCCAATTGGTAAATCCTCAAATTTCAAACCAAGAACTCCAAAAGAAAAAGAAGTCAACCCTCCTCGAAAGCATAGTAAAAAATGACTAAGACTTTAAAGGAATCAAATCTCGGGAGGTGTACTTTGGTCGAGGGAAGGTGTTAGATGAAGAAAAGTCCAACATCTACCGGTCATGAGTTTGACTTTTTAAAAAACAATTAATTTGAAGAAAAATATATATTTTAAAATATTTTGGGAATAAAAAATGTAATTAAAATTAAAAGAATTGGTAGGTGAGAATAGATTTAAAGCTCCATATACTTGAGTCGGTTATTTTATCATTGCCCTTGCATCATCCTCTTCCCCTAGCCCTAGTTGAAGCTATATATACCTACCTCGGCTCGTTTGCTTCACGGCTTCCATTTTCTTCTGTTTCAAAGCTTCATTCTTCGTGTTGTTATTCTTTTTCTTTGAAGAATCCTAGAGGAAGAACTAAACCCTAGATTTCCGAGAATTTCGAGAGCTTTCTTGGGTTTGAATTTAACTGTGTTCTGTTCTGTTGAATCTAAATCTTTCTCTGCGAGTTCTTCTTTCGTGTTTTGATGAGCGTCGTGGTCTTTGGTTCCAGTTCTTAGTGTTTTTTTTTTTTTTTTTTTTTTTTTTTTTTTTTTTTTTTTTTTTTTTTTTTTTTTTTTTTTTT